CGGTTTCCTTCCTATTTGGTAATAACTGGTTTCAGAGCAGGGGACTTGGGTTGGGAGGGGTGCAGGACTCTTTTTGTAAGCATTTTGTACAGTTGTGGGTTAATAAAGCCAGGGGACTGCGATGCCTTTGGGCTAATTGGTCTGGTTTCTTGAATGTTCAGTCATGAACCTGCAGGAAGTAAACCGATAGGAAGCAGAAAAATTTGAAAGCAATGCTAGGAGATTGTATTTTAAACAGATTTCTGGTACAGGGGTAATTAAAATGTAGCTGACTGTGGGGCAGAAATGGAAGAGAAATGTTGAATTTTGTAGACAAATTCCAAAAATTATCGAATTACGAATATTCAGATATGGTTCGGAATTATTTATGTGCCATTAACTACTGGTGGAGAAGGATGCCGTAGGTATCGCCTTTCACGTTATGGTAAATCTTTGTTTACAGAATTTTTTGCTGCTTCACAGGTCTCTGATGCTGTTAAATTCACAAGAGTATTTCTTTAAAAGTTAAGAAGCCTGTTTTGTACGGTAATCTCTGGAAACACATCTCAAAGGGTGCTTTTGGGAGGGGGAAATGGGAGGAGGGTCAGAGGGTACCCAAATCAGGCAGAAGTGGTGAAGATCAAACAATTGGCAATTAAAGATGGGCAACTATGGCAGGTGGAACAAAGTATCTCCAAAATGGACTTCAGCCACACAACTGAAGCAGTATTGGGGTTTTGTGGGGTGGGAGTATATGCCTGCTTGTTCTTAAAGTAACCTTTGTTCACTGCCCAGTCCATGGAACTCGGCACTGCCCTGCATTCTATACCTTTGTGATAATGCTTTGAATGCTGCCTTCGGTTCTGCCAAGGAGAGAAAGATATATCAAGTTGGGCTTGGCTTTGCAGGCCAGATGAGGCTTTTGATCATGTTACTCCTGATGCAGAAATTACTGCCTGTGCCAGGTCTTCAAAGGTAATGGGTACAGATTCATGCCTCAGTACTGATCCTATGCATCTGATACATTTATAGTTAGATGAGCATGGGGCATTGATGGGCCAGCTGGCTTGAAAAACCACATAGTGATGCTGTCTTCCCCATCCATGCACAGTTTTAGGAATGTTTTACCCTTTTTAGCATTGACAGAAGAACTTCGCAAGTGTACAATATGTTTAAGCTCAGTTTCAGGAAAAACTGAGGGATGAATTCAAATATTGATTAATTATTTAATTGAAATTAACCACTGTTTTATCAGAAAAAAACTAAAGCATCTGTTATCTGCCTGGAGTGAGTGAAATATGAGATGCCTGTTAAGTTTCAGTGGTGGATTTTTTTGAGCTTTTTGGTAATGTTATTCCCCAGGGAGATAAGACTTTATTTCAGAAAACTGCAATTACGTGATGTCATTGTAATTGGATATTTCAAGGAAAGAGGTGAGAGATAGTGACAACCACAGATAATATAAAATGCTTGTTACCCAACATGCAGCTTTGTCTTTAATAAATAAATGTTATACATTTACCACCAGCATATTTCAGGGTAAGACGTTTCAACATTTGTTCATTACTGGTATTTGGTTTTTCTTCCCCACTTTATTTTCATGTTCCATTATATCTGTGACATTGTGATCTTGCACACAAGAACTCTCTTTTAATGACTCTGTAGTGCATAGAAAATGGCGCTTTGTAGTTTTTTGTTTTTTTTACTGACAAGTTATATTTGGACTGATACAATCATAGAGTATAAAATCTGAAGTAAACACATTTTCCTAGAACAATTTAGACAATGGACTACATATATATATGTTTTCTTTTTGGACAGTTAAGAGAGAGATTGCAATAGAAAAGAAAAAGATACAATGAGCTGCATAAACATTCTTAGAGACTAAGTTCATATTTTAAAAAATAGAAATAATTTCATTTGTGAGGATTATCCATAAAAATTAAGGATTATTAAATTATTTCCACTCATTAAACATGCAGGCTTGTTTCAGTCACATTCAGGGACAATAAAAATGTGTTCCAACCGGGCACCTGCAACCAATAAACACTTAAATTGAAAGAGCGTCAGGGTGATTTCACTGCCGGGGACATCAAGACTTGCAAGTCCTGATTCAACAAGTAATGTGCATGGAAGCTTGCAACCATGCACACCTCTAACAGGAGGATTTCCTTGGAAGATTTGCTTCTTCAGAGTCTATATCCAATACCAGTATAAAGAGAATTAAGGTCAAAATATGTAAATTAAATTTATTGATGATCCATTAATTGGATTTTACAGCATTTTAATGTGTTTATGGATTCAGAATATGTCGTGGTTATGGAGGATTTATGATACTGCTAAAAGAGCAATTTAGGATTTAATCGCTTGGTTATCTGCCCATGAGATTTGTCAAGAGAAATGATGAGGAAATTGCCCTGTATCGATTTGCTTTTTTTTTTTTTTTAAACAAACACCAGGGCTTTAAGCACTAATTGTAGCCCTTCCTGATCTTGTGCTCTCCTATGGCAGATTCAGAAGATCTGTCCCAGAAGACTTCATTGCGCCCTTGGAGCTCCAGCAGAAACAGTTTGGCTTAGTGGATGGTATGCATGTATTAAGTCTAGATCCTATTTCTTGGCATAAGGCATGACTGGGTAAAGGCACATTGCTACATCTCTTCCGCATTAACCCCGGGGCAGTTTAGGTGCCCTGGGCAGGGAGCCACATTCACGCAACTTGTTTTGCTGTGCCACTCCCCCGTCCTGTCCTGGAACCTCAGGAAATCATGCTATTGTCCCCGCGACAGGCCCATACTCCACATTAGGGACAGGTTATGCAACTGTCCATATAGCTTTACCCAGCGTTTCCCAATCTTAGCAACTTAATAAGTGTGGGTTTCCATTTCCCCGTTGGCTGTGGGAATTCTGAGAATTGAAATCCACATCTCTTAAAAAAGTTTCTGAGATAAACACTGAAAATGCAACCTCCAATTGGCATGTAGAACACATTACTCAGTGCCTCACAATTTTTGTCTTTCCCCCCCTCTTTTCTCTTTGAAACTGGGAATTCAACCAGCCAACTGTTTAACCTATCAATCTCAAGTGGCAACAAAGAGGGATTTGGGGTACTATCTAGTAGTTGCCCAGATACGTACAGCCATGTCTAAGGGGAATTTGAGAGTTTGAGTTCAATACCCTACGAACATAACATGAAGTAAGGAAGCAAGGAGACAGGATTTGCCTAGGAAAACGAATTTCCTGTCAGGAAGGCTACAGAAATGCAAGAACAAAGTCCTTCCAATTACACTTTCCAATGTGTGCATTAATGGACTTGTTACTTGCAAAGTTTTGCACTCTCCAGGTCAACCAATCCATTACAAAAAGTAATAGCCATGGAAGTTAATGTCTCCCTTGCAACCAAAAGAGGACTAAAATAGGATCTATACTTGGGTGACTAGTGCCTCCTTGTAGGCCCACCATAATACTCTTTTCCATTCCTACTACCTGCAGTATTTCACAAGGTTGTGTTTTCACAGATTATGGCCTTCAACCACGCCATCCCAAGTTCCAGATACGGAAACAACGTAAAGAGTCAGAAACACTGCACAGATCACATAAAAGCAAAAGGGACGAACCCAATTTTGAAGAGTATTATTACGATGACCTCCTTTGAAAAGTGACAAGAGAACATGCTGTTTTGCATAGCCTTGCCTGGTAAAACAGCCAAATGCATACAGCAATAATCCCCATTCTGTTACTTAACACTATTCTAGAAACTTTCCTTGCAGCTCTGTATTTTTTGTGTGTCCCTATCATAAACACAGTGTTTTAAGATGAGATTGCCATTTGTAGATTCTCAGCTTTCCTTTCATGCTTTTAATTCCTACTATGCTAAATAATATTTGGAAGCTTTGCTATTGGCTGGAGGTAAGACTTCAATGCCAACACTGAGGCTATGTAGTGAAAAATAAGTATCCAATACAGCTTTCAGTGCCATGACTATTTTTACCTCTCATCAACGACTTCTCCAGTGATTCTGAATTTGGGTTCCACCTTACATTAGAATTCTAATTTATATAAACTAATATGAACAGATTTTACAGTTTACAATTTCAACTATTATTAAATAGACCTAGCTCTCAAAAGCCTTTCTGTCTTTGTAGTGCCATTCATTTATATAATATTTAGTAAAAGCACAGATCCAAACCCCTCTAAAGGCATTTTAGAGCATGCCTGTTTAGTAGGTAATTACATATTTGGCTGAAATAACAGCCGGCATTAGAGACAGGCATTGTTGAAAAGCTGATTCCTATGTTTCAATATCTCAAAATCCTTTATCTTATCTTTTATTGCTTTGTAAATAACTTAAGGGGGCAATGATACCTAATATTTCCTCCTATTTTCCTCACAATCTTGTGAGATAGGTTGAGCTGAGAGTGGCTGGTCTGGTTTTCATGCCAAAGCAGGACTAGAAGTTTCAGTCTCCTGGTTTCTGGTGCCTTAAACACTAGACCAAACCAGCTGCTTTTTAAGAGAATGTGAGGATACAACTATTAAAGCAGATTTCTAGTGAGTATGAAATGGCAGAACATAATGGTAACCTCCAACACACAAAAAAACCAGGGCCCTCTAACATTGTACTGTACATAACAATAAAAAATACAGAGACAGCTTGGCTCACAGGGGCTAATATGTAAGTCACTTCTAGCAGAGATGCAGGATATGAATCTTGAAAAATAAATGCAGAAAAAAAAACACACACAAAAAGTTGCTTCATATGCCTCTGAATGGCTATTCCATACAAGCCAAGCAGGATTCTTAATAATAATACGATTCTGCAATGTTTACAATGTACAAGTCGGAAAACTGCAGGCAGGTAAGACTTCTCTTAATTTTATGTATGCTACATCTCAAACTTGGGTGGGTGAGTACATTACAATACTACCTTTCAGAACATCTACATTGGCTCCTGCAATTCGATCCCAAGAGCTTCAAACAGTTGTTAAAAGACCTCATAACACAAAAGCAACACAGTTCCTTTGAAACATCAATGTTTAATCATTGTCATCAGAGCAGATCCAGCAGAAGCACAGAGCCCTCTGCCTGGAAAGCTCGGGCTCGTAGGCAGGGGAAGAAGGCAAAGGCACACCTTTCCGCAGCTCTTGGTTCCTTGTTACCCATGCTAGTCCCCTCGCTTTTGCCTCTCCACAAGACCTCACTACTGTTTCCTGATTCAGCGTTGTGCTTAACGGCTGTAGATCTCCCAGCCCCCTAATATGGATGAATCAGATGCATGGCTCTCAGCTCAAGGCAGTATCCAGATTACTCCCATCCCTTTGAGTTTAGGATCTGCAGACAGATGAAGGAAAGGGGACAGCACAACCAGAGTTGCAACAGAGGGACAATTCTATATCAAAAGTACAGTGGTTCTTTCTAGTTTTCACCTTCAGCCTCCCACAACCTGGCACCCACAAGATACATTGGGGCTATAATTCCAGAATTCTCAAATTCTCCTCCCTTTCAAAGTCCAAGTGCCAAAGTGTCTCCTATACAGTATTCCTGGGTTACTTTTACAGACATGGGAGGTCAAATACAAAGTGGATTTCTGTTTACTGGGACTTGTCAGGAATCTTTTGCTTAGCTTCCCATCCAAGATTTCAATTTATTATTTCCGTATCTTTTATCTAGGCATATCAACTTAGCAACGTATCAACTTATCTAAGCAAATCCAATTTTCTTGGTGGAAGTCCAGCACTTTTGTCCTATTAAACAGCAAATGTTAAATCTGGAATATGTGACAGACTAGAGGGGTCTCCAGCACACAGCAGGATCCCTCAAAAGTGTGGAGGAGTTTCTTTGCCCAGGGACCAAACCAGCCCCCTCCTATGCCAAACACGTGGGACATTCAACCCTGCCTATTCCGGGGCCAGTGCTTTGCTTGATGTGTGGGGGGCAGCAACTGCTTTCACTGGTGGCATTTTTTTTTAATAAAGAAAAAAGAGAATGCATTTCTTTAAAAATAGTAATCCCCATGTCTTGCCACCCATCCCACCCATTCTCAACTCCCCGAACCCCCTGCCCAAGGAAAGGAGGTGTACTGAAAGAGGAGGGGCTCTGCATATGGAGGGAAACCGCTCCCATGCCTCTTCCTCCTTCAGACTTAAGCAGCTTGTCCATGCACAATGGGGAAATGGCCCTTGTCTATACAGGAAGAGAGGGCTGGACCTGCCCCTACTCTAGATAGATATCCTCTGTGGGGCACGTATATTCCACACATTCCTTGTAGAACTGATGGAAAGCCTTCCTGCAAAAGAACGAGAGAGAGAAAGGTGTGTTGAAGAGAAGGTGTCATAGTGCATAGGCACAGCACAATTCAAGAACCAATGTGCTTCGTACACCCATTCTTTTTAAAGTTTTTCATTACTCAGGGCTGTATTTTCAAGCACTTTAAGAAAAAAAATCAGATCTCCCCAAAATAGTCTTTTGTAACCAGGCTAAGAATGATACAAATACAGCACATCCCAGAACTGTAAAGATCTGGCAGAATAACCTGCTTACTGCACATATTATGTGCCAACTATACAGGGAAAGACAGTAAGTTATGCAAGAACTTGTGCCAAATAACCAGAAGCATCATAAATCTGGAGTAACTCCTGTTTTTCAACAAACAGCATTTCAGAAATGGACTTTTCACAGACTTAGTAGCTCTGACCTCATGCACATAATGTTCATGCAAATAGAACATTTAGGCACAGATACAGTATGTGTAAATTGGCCTCAGAAAAATGCATCAACCTTAATGAATTATTCTCTCTCCACACTGTGGTGAGCCTGAGCATCCTTTAGAAAATGCTGCCTACTGGAAAACAGGAGTAGCTCCATGAGCCATTAAAACATCTTAATGGCGAAGAATTCAAGCACTAGATTGCTTTTTAAAGAACATCTTGACTCAATACTCCAGATTTTTCAGGAAACAGATTACATTTCTGCGAACTCACTAACTTCAATGAAGATGGTTTGCAGTCAAACCTTGCATCTCCCAAAACAAGTCTTCATGCCATACTAATGGGATTCTAAGCAAACTGAAGACAGAGTTAGAATTCTCAATAAACTAGGTTTGCCCTCTACTGGGCACTGAAAGATGGCTAATCCCTGACCCCAGCAAGCATGCTGGGATCATTGCTGCAACCAGCACTGCATACTACATCCATTATCTGGGGCTAGTGCTCCTTTCCCTTAGATCAAATAAAATCCCTAGAAAAATGAGGATCATGAGGACATAGCAGTCAACAACTCACCCTACAGATTCTGCAAGTGGCTTGGTGGATTCCTCCGAGACAAAGACATGGCACGCAAATCTATGGTCAGCTGGGTGCTTGGTAATGAACCCAAAATATCTGATGGAGAAAATAAAATATGTTAGTTGCCCTGAGAGCAACATTTGTTGAAAAAATAAGATATAGGTTACATTAATAATAAGATATGGGATACAAACTCAAGGTAAACTGCTTCAAACTCAATTGCAGAAAATATGACTTCAGCAACAGAGTGGTCAACGCCTGGAATGCTCTACCCTACTCTGCTGTTACAGCCTCAAACCCACACAGCTTCAACCTCAAACTGTCTACCGTGGACCTCATCCCATTCTTAAGAGGTTCTTAAACGGGGCATGCATAAGCGCACCAGTGGGCCTACTGTCCCTGTGTTACTGTCCCCATTTATCTGTATTTACTTCCTTTGTTCATGTTTATGGTCATACCTACACATCTTGTACATGTTTGAGAAACAAAATAAAAAAGTAATAAAAAATATGAGATTAGATGGATGGATGGATGGATAGATAGATAGATAGATAGATAGATAGATAGATAGATAGATAGATAGATA